CAGGACATGTCCACACAGAACTCAGCAGACAACACTTTAAGGGCACAAAAATGCACTAATCTTTTGCAATAGACATTTATTCCCATCAAAATGAATGGAGTAATTTTTAAATGGTATGTCATGTTTATGTCATAACAGTCTAAAGCAGTGATTCCCAAGCAGGGGTACTCAAAATAGTTATAATAAAGACCAGGGTCGAAAATTAGCGAGGGCAAAAATGCCACCAAATTAAATGACTCATAAAGACAGTGATGTGCTGCCAACTACTGGCAAATATTAGCCTTTAATAGAAAAAGGTGATTTTTCATAATGTTGGAAAGACCACACAAGGGGGTTTTATGATTGTGATCAGGCCAGGATGTGAAATGAACAGTAGTAACACTACTGCTGCATGTGGCAGCAAAAGTAAGGCCTACAGTAGCTACTGTGTCATCAGACCTATTCAAACCGAACAATGGACTCTTTGTCCAAGTGCGCATCACTGATAGTTCAATATTCAATTTAGAACACAATTACAGAGAGCAATCCTCGCTCTCATTAAACCATTCAAACATAGGATGCAGCAGCACATCCTCTACCAATATTTTTATTTATATCTTAAATTCATATAATTCTGGATGATGGTGTCATGTAATTTGTGTGCTTAACTCCATACATGCGAAACATACATTAAATCTAAATGTGTATATCAAATGGAAAACAGAGTTTAAAATTATTCTGTTTCCTTCAATACTTCAATCACACAGGTATAAGAGCATGTGGCAGCTTGCGTGGCAGTGCACACATTTTCACATCAAGTTTGCTTCTTATAAATCCCATCATGAACATGTAACATTTTTGTGCATACGCGGCATTATTACATGAGGCCACAGGTCTTGACAGTGATTTTGTGAACGTTTCTCCTTTTGATCGTTTGGTAAAAAGCACATGCTAAAATCGTGAATGTGATCATGTTTATCAGTGTGTCAGTGTGACTTACAGAACTGATCTGGATTCTTTAACCACAGGCAGCAGCTTCTGAAGAACTTCATCTGCTGTATTTTGAGCTCCAGTAAACTTTTTTAGAACAAAAACATCCATCTCCTGCTCTGATGTCAGCAACACATAAACCAGAGCTGACCACTGTGAAGAGGAGAGTTTGATTTCTTTAATTTTTCCAGATTTCAGATAATCTTGGATCTCCTGCATCAGTGAAAGATCACCCAATTCACTCAGACAGTGGAACAGATTGATGAATCTCTCTGGAGAGCGATTCTGCCTAATGTTTTGTTTGATGTACTGAACTGTTTCCTCTTTGTTGTAGGAGCAGCTTCTTGTCTGTGTCAGTAGTTCTCGTAAGAGAGTCTGATTGGACTCCAATGATAGACCCAGAAGAAAACGCAGGAAAAGATCCAGATGTCCATTCTTACTCTTTAAAGCTTCATCCACAGCTCTCTGATGCAGCTCAGACAATACAACATATTCCCTCAGGTTTAAAATCTTAGACAATAAACTTTCTTTTGTTTGTATGTTCTTGTTGGTAAAGCAGAAGTGCGCATATAGAGCTGCTAGATGTTCCTGGATGGTCAGATGAACAAAGCTGAAGACTTTCCCCTGAAACAAGCCAAACTCCTCTCTGAAGATCTGAGTGCACAATCCTGAGTACACTGATGCTTCTGTCTCATCAATGCCACACTCTCTCATGTCTTCCTCATAGAAGATCAGGTTGCCTTTTACAAGCTGCTGAAAAGCCAGTTTCCCCAGTTTGAGAATCATGTCTTCATCTTTAACTTTCTTCTCATAGTCCTTCTCATGTCTGATGTTGGTCTGAATGATCAAGAAGTGTGTGTACATTTGAGTGAGAGTCTTGGGAATCTCTCCACTCTCTGCTT